AAGGCCGTACGCAAAGAGCAAGGGGCACTGGACGCCGCCGTAGAACAACAGACCGTGAAGATCGCCGGCTAAGATTATTGGCCTTAAGGGACCGTTTCTCCACTACCAGGTCCATTGCAAATGAATGGTTTGCAGAACACGGAAGACCTATTGGCATGCGAAGTTTTTACCGACCAATGAGAAGTTTTGGCTTGTTTTCATACCGGCCACACTGGGTCCTCCCTTTAACTCGAGAACACCGACGTAATCGCCTTGAGTGGTGCAGACACTCTGGGATCAGGAATGGAACAGTATTGTCTTTAGTGATGAGTCTCGATTTTGTTTAGGCATGCACGATGGTCGTGCTAGGGTTAGAAGGCGACGTGGTGAAAGAAGGAATCCACAGTTTTTTGTTGAAAGACATGTTCACACACTGTTGGAGTTATGGTTTGGGGTGCTATAGCTTATGGTTCCAGGTGGTCACCTTTAATCTTCATCAGAGGTAACATGAACGCGCAGCGTTATATCCACGAAGTTCTAGAACCCCATCTTTTACCCTATCTTGACACCCTGGCAGATCCAACTTTCCAACAAGATAATGCCCGACCACATGTTGCAAGAGTCACAATAGACTTCTTTCAACATAATGATGTCACATTGTTACCATGGCCATCAAGATCTCCCGACTTATCCCCAATTGAGCACGTGTGGGATATGATGGGTAGGAGATTGCTCAATTTGCAACGTCCTCCTCAGACTCTAGAAGCACTTCGAGAGGAGTTGGTGGTTGCCTGGAATGAGATACCACAGGAGGACATTGACCACCTGATCAGAAGCATGCCTAGGCGCGTTGGAGAATGCGTAGCACATCAGGGTGCATCCATACATTATTAAAGGTCAAAGGGCTTTAAAGCAGTGCAATCATTTTGAAATTTTTATAATTTACTTATTATACTTAGTATACAAGTCATCAGTTGGGTATCACTTTGATTGGCCAAACATTGATTTTAAAATCATTCTTTGAAATACATCTAAATCGTTAAGGTACATCGTGCATGCAGGACCCCATACTACTATACCATATGTTATGTGCGGATCGACTAAAGCTTGATATATTATTCTTAGATAATATTCAGTTAATATACGAGTTAAAATTTTATCGTATATGCTATGAATCTAATTTTCCTTAGTATGAAAGAAATATGAACGTCCCATCTCATGTGGGGATCTAGATAAATTCCTAAATATTTTCTACCATTAAATCTGTTGATTTTCAGATTTTTATCATTTACCTTAGAGCGAAGGTGGTTATACCTTGGTAGATGATTAGATAGTGATGAAAATGGTAAAACACAAGTTTTGGTAAAGTTAATTGTTAATTTCCGGTTACTAAACCACTGAATAGGTTTAGAAAGATCATGGATAAACATCTCTTACGTCGTTCCAATCCTTACCTTTATAGAGTACAGCAGTATCGCCCGCTAAACTGACTATTTTACTAGTACTGTTAATTTTGGATATATCGTTTAAATAAATATTGAATAACAGAGGACCCAGAATTGTACCTTGTGGTACACCACAAAAATTTGTTCACTATATGAGTTTAACAATTTTACTGATTGCCGTCTATTTGATAAATAATGCTCCATTAAAGTATACATCTTTTCACGATAACCTATTCCTTCTGAAATTTCTAAAGGTATATTGTGGTTAACTGTGTTGAACGCTTTTCCTAAATCAACAAATACGCATATCGATGGTACCTTTTCATGCATATTTTGGGTAATTTCATCTACTATACGCCACCTGTAGATTTGGCCGCTATAAAACCATATTGATTAGGATTTCAAATTTTGAATCTATCAAGAAGGTTTCATTTGATTAAGGAGGAATTTCTCAAAAACTTTAGCTAAGCTTGATATAAGTGAAATAGGCCGATAGTTAGTGAAATCCGTATTATTATTAAAAGCTGATGCAAATACTCCAGATTGAAAGAATTTGTTGATAATATAGATAAGTGGTTCTGCTATTTCTTTGACCAGCTCAGCTCTAATTTCATCAACTCCAGAGCTCTTTTGTTGCTGTGTATTTACAACTTTCTTGGCATCTTTATCGATGTATTTTACATTCGCGGACTGTGCAAAAATGATAATTACTTTACTTTTCATGAACTAGTAGGAGGCATGCTTATATGTTTGAAAGTTCGAGAGGTTATGCTGCTGTCAGCTGCTGTTTACAAGCACACTAAGATATGGGGCAAACATGACGGGCATCGTTTTCGCCTTCCTAAGAGGAAGATTATTTTTATATTGAAGCCTTACGGTCTTTTAAGTTATTAAATAGTTTGGTCTAATAGAGCAAATATTAACCTACTCAAAGACAATGTCAACTAGCCTATTGAAACTATTAAGTCATCTCATACCGAAACTCGCACGTGTCAAGTGGTTCAAAAGGGGTGATTCCGCCCCAGATGAAGAACTGCCGTCTAACTGCGCCTTGCTTCGACGATTCGACTGTACACAAACGGGTACACGGGAAGGGCATTAAGCTGGAGTATTCCGTACAAATACGCTAGCGAAACGGATATGCCTGACGTTTAATTACTATACTCAGAGCCAGCGTAGAGTGTGTGTGTAGAGCAGTGTGTGTTTGAGCGGCCTTGTTTGCCTTCTGATGCTCACTCAGAAATATTCTGTTGCGAGGTTTGTGTTGTCGCGAGTATAGTACATTTACCTGCAGCGTAGAGTGTTAATGGATTGTTTACAGTGGAGGTGATATCGAAGGAAATTAGTGAAGATCCATTTTGAGTGTGACTAGAAAAATAAACAGAAAGTGTATTATGCCTTAATACAAACGAAAGCCACGTACGGACCGCGATTCCGACGCAAGCCAAGGCAAATGTGGTTACAGATTTGGAGGTGTTCGAATCGGTGTGTACATTCACTCCTTGATCGGTTCATCGAAGGGAGGTTTGATTTGGTCTGGACAGGATTTGTTGCGCTACTAGTATTTCTAGTCGTTTGTCGGCATTCGATAAGAGGAGAGACATTTTTAAAATGCCCACAATCTTCACTTTCTCTAGTAAGTGACTGCCACTTTACAAGGCCTTATTTGTAAATGATGTTGTTACCCACCAACGTCTAGGATGTTCCTTCTTTTTCTTGGCTATTAGAGAATGTATTATTGAAAACCTCGCACTTGCCAGCAATAAATCGTCCTCGTCGCTCGTCATTAGCACTGAACTTAACCCGACGCGGTCCAACACGAAACTAAATTTAGGTGTCGATGACGTGTGGGCGAGCGCCGACGTGACATGTGCTTGCATTCGTTTGCATTGAATTTTCGGTCTGTACGAGGCTTAAGCTCCAACGACACTTGACTTTAGGTTAGGTTCGGTTTTTTGTGAGTGCATTAATAACGATCCTCCACTGCGTGTAGCTCACACCTTTCTATATTTCTCCCAGTAGCTCCGACCTCCTGAGGAAGTCGACCAACTGGTTCCTAGGCTAACAGGTTTTTCAATATTTAGCTTCGGCACGAAGATACCAGCTCCAACATCTACCTCGGCCATCTGTGTATGCGCAGATATCTTTCCTTATCGGGTTAACTCGACCCTGTATCGTAGATTTGGATAAAAATGGTAGCAGGGTGATGCTGGTGATGGGGAGAAAGTGGAACACCAATCTCGGATGGGTATATCGTGTTATTGAGTTTCCTGATTCATTATTTAAAATTGGTAAAATCAACGTAATTGTGATAAAATTCCTCTCCACAGAACATACTTTGGTGTTATGCAACCAACTTCACAAGGTGTCATGCGTATATGGTTACATAATTCATACAATCGAAATAACAATGATAATAAATTTGTGTGTAATACTAGTGTACAACGCAGCTCTGCGAATAGTATACTCATTTGAGGCACTAGTACCGTTTAGAAGAAGCACCTGAGCTGCCCTATGCCCCAGCGGATATTGAGACCATTGTGGAGAATGAGAAATCCCGGCTGGTGCAGGCGAGTAAGCCCGACATAGTCCTTATCGACCAAGAACGAAAGGCGCCGATGGTTATTGAATTTTCGGCTCCGACCGAAGTGAAGATCGTCTCGAAGGAGGAGGAAAAACGGACCAAATATCAGGAGCTCCTCAATCAGCCTAGCAGGCTCTGGCCAGACCACACTGTCACTCTGCTAGTCATTTTTTTATACTCCAACTACCACGAAGACTTAAGGCCTAAGCACCCATTGGGTACCGTGAGGCTATAGGGGGATACATGGGAAAGTCAGAGACCGTTTACCACTTACGGACAATCACAACATCCATAGCCAAGAGACTCGAACCCGCACAGAGCACGGCGACTGATCAGGAGACCGAAGAGTCTACTACTGCGGCCACCGCTGCTGCCTTATGGTCATTGGATCCTTAGGTGGGATGAGGAATACACTGTCAGTAATGTTTAAGAACATCAGATCAGTTCTTAATGAAAACCAGTTATTTTTGTTGTAATATGCACAATTTGAGTCTCGCCTGCGATATAAGTTATGATTTTGGGTCTCTCCGGCATCTTTGAGCAAAAGAGGGTCACTTGGTGTTTGGTGTGAACTGACGGTGCACATAGATGCAAAGGACTATTAAAAAATGGCAAAGAAATCTTTAAAATAGATAAAGACTACATGGTATCAATGCACGACAACTTAATATACATGTACCTTTTATGAAATACAAATTTACCTAAGGTCTCCTAAAATCCTGAGCCCAAGAATCGTTATAAAATTACCGGATGATTTCAAAAGGATAACAAGCTTAAATTTCTTTAAGGTGAAGTTGTTGATAAATCTCTGTATTATCCCGATGATTTTATATGTATATGTATATAAATACTTGTTTTTTAACCTTCTTAGCTTTTAAATCTGTCAATGTGCTTTCTGTTCCTTTCATACTTCGTATTCTGGTATTTTTTGCGATAACCGACGAATCCTATACATTATTTTTTAATGTCGAACGGTAAATTAAATAAATATTATGCCACTGGAGAAAGGTATGGACATCTATAGTTTACAATCTCATAGCAATACGAGGGATGTCTGTTAAGATTTGCATATAGAAACATAGTAGGCCGCGCGGATCGAACGTCAGTACTGAATCACTCTTTAATAATAATAATAATAATAATAATAATGATATGCCTTTATTTTACCTGGCGGGTGTATCAGCTAATAGCTGCTTTTGGTACCAACCAGGGCTACATAAGTTTAACAAACATAAAAAAAATCACAGATACAAAAAATAATGATCAAGACATATAGTACTGAAAAGTGACAAATACAACATAATAGTGTGTAAAATGTGAAGACAGATTTAAATCACATTCACTCACACACTCACTGAAACAGAAATAGTGAAAAAAAAAGACCACAACCAGACACTTAATGTAGAATCACAGCAGTTACAAGATGAAAGCTTAGTATAGAATTAGGTATTATCGAGAACAAATTGCTTTATTTTAACTTTAAAATTATTGTTACTCAAACTTTTCAGATCTGATGATAGACAATTATAAAGGGAAGGCGCTATGTATGAGAAGCACTTTGTGAATTGTGTTGATTTATGGGGGGGCATATCGAGGGTATAACCTACAAAGCGTAAGTTCGCCGAGTGATGCTGACTTCTAAATGAGAGTTTGCTGCTCAGATATGCTGGATATTTGGTTAATAGGACTGTCTGTACTATGACCAACAAGTGTACAATCCATCTCTGACGCATCGTGAGCCAGTTGACATCCTTAATGTATCTAGCAATGTGTTCCCTTCTCGGAACACCTAATGAATACCTGATACAACTATTTTGCACTTTTTGTATCCTATAAGCTTCCGACTGTGTCAGGCATGGACCATACACCGTATCAGCGTATTCGAGTTTGCTGAGAATCAAAGAGTTACAAAGCTTGATCTTGGTTTGACTAGATAATACGTGTTTATAACTGTAAATTGTCTTGAGCTTAGCATATGAATTTTGCACAACCCTGGAAACGTGATCGTGAAACGTGAGATGTTCATCCACTATTACTCCTAAATTTTTCACGGATTTTATATGAGGCAAGTCTCCACCTTCCAGGTGTAATTCTATCAAGTTACTATCGAAATTACTTTGTATGGACTTAATAGTTATGACAGCAGATTTGTTTGAATTGATAAGTAACCCGTGATCGTTATACCACTTTGCAACACGATCTAGATCACAAGACATTCTCCTGTTTGCCTCCAGGAAATCGAAACGACGGTAAGACAAATACAGTTGGGTATCGTCAGCGTAAGACTGAATAGAACAATATTTAATGTCACGACTTAGGTCGAACGTATACAAAGTAAACAAAATTGGGCCAAGTATGGAGCCCTGCGGTACCCCCTTCAAAATCGCACGCTTATCGGACATACAGCCGCCTACAATAAACTTAAATTCAACGTTTCATAACAATACGTGCAGTGTTGTCACTACAGTGAATTTTTAAGTGTCTCCAAGTCATTAGAAAAACGGAACTAAACCGAGAACGTTTTCGCGCCATAATTCATTACAACATTCAGAGACAATTATCTCAACAAGAATGCCTTGCTGAGATACTGACTATTTCCGGTAACGAAGCGCCACATCAGTCGGCAATTTCCCGTTGGAATAGAGAATTCAAACGTGGACGGGTGAGTCTTAGCGACGATCCCAGGGTGGGTACACCAAAAACGGAAAACGTCGATGCTGTGCGCAAACTCATCATTGAAGATGTGACATGTGACACATCGCGAGATTGAGGCGTCCTTGAAAATCTCAAAGACCTCAATTCAAAAAATTTTACATGAAGAGTTAGGAGTAAGAAAATTAGTTTCTCGTTCGATACCCCACCTGTTGACTGAAGAGCAGAAAGCTGCCAGGGTTAACTGGTGTCAAAAAACGCTTGACCGTTTCAATTCCGGAAACTCAAAAAATGTGTACAGCATTGTTAGTGGTGATGAATCGTGGATTTACTGTTACAACCAGAAAATAAACGACAGTCGGCTGTTTGGGTGTTCCAAGGTGAAGAAAAGCCAACAAAAGTCATCCGTTCTCGAAGTGTTTCGAATAAGATGGGCGCGACATTTGTGTCAAAAGCGGGTCATATTGCAACAATTCTTCTTAATGAGCAATGAACTGTTACTGCGGATTGGTATACTACCATTTGTTTGCCAGCAGTCATCACCGAGCTTCGAAAAATCAACCCCGAACGAAGAATCATCCTCCACCGAGACAATGCAAGCTCGCACACTGCCGAAACAATGAGGCAGTATTTAACGGAAGAAAACGTGGAATTATTGGAGCACCCTTCATATAGTCCCGATCTAAGTCCTAACGATTTCTTTACTTTCCCGAAAATTAAAAACAAACTGCGTGGTCAAAGGTTCCAGTCACCAGAAGAAGCAGTTGACGCATTCAAAAATGCCGTTTTGGATCTGCCAGCAAACGAGTGGAATAAGTGCTTCAAAAATTGGTTCGAGCGCATGCAGATGTATATATGTTAATCTTCGTGGAGAATACTTCGAAAAACAATAAAGTCATTTAATACTACCTACCGTGTTGTTTTATTTCGATATGGAAAACTTAAGAGACATCCCTCGTAAGTATTCATATTTACGAAGATGGTCAAGAAAATATTTCGCTTGATACTGTAAAGGGTTGCCTATATAATAAAAATGCATCATTATAGCTAAATAATACGTTTATCCCTATTATATCAAGTTTCACAACCGAAAGCTTCAAACTATGAACATATGGCAACAGTGTTCAGTGGTGTCCTGTACAAGTTTCGGTGCGATGTTCGTTCCAATTTACGCTGCAGTTCTTTTAAATCTTTCTAAATGCGGGCCGAAGAGGACCAAGTGCTAATTAAAAAGATCCTCGGCCGTTTAGAAGCCAAGTAGTAATTAGTTCTTGAACCGTGTGCTCGTGAATACGGCAAGCAAATATTGTTTGTAGAATGAGGGGAACTTTTTTATCGACCATGTTACCGAATATCTTAAATCTGGATTTTTATAATTATTTCCTTTGAAATCCATGCCTTTAACTCCTGATTGTGAAATGCTCGTCATCACTAGGTATAGGGTAAGACGTTTTGCTTCCTAAGTGATCTGGAGCGCTATTGTCGTTCTTTAGTTTTAAAGGGATACATTTTCAAAACAAAGTTCAAAAACACCATCATGCATTGCCTAAAAAGTTCCAATCTACGTGAAAAATTAATGTTAGTTTACTTTATAAAAAATAGTCCAAAAATGTTACCTTACAAAAATGAACAACAACCACTAACAATATAAACATAACATTATAACCAAAGAAATGATTTCAAACATTGCTGAAAATGGTAGTATGCATGCTTCCGCCCTCCGTTTTTTATTATATCACAAGCTGCAACTATTCTATCTCTTAATTTCTCTACAGTGTTAATGGGACTTTACATTAGTGTCTTAAGATAGCCCCACGAAAAGAAATCTAAACTGTTGAGGTCTGGGGACCTTGGTGGCCATTCCTGTGGCCCACCGCGGCCAATCCAACGATTTGGATAAACAGTTTGTAAATAACTACGAACCGCTACACTGGAATACGCTGGTGCACCATCATGCATGTACCACATAATGTTTCTTATTACTAACGGAACATCATCAAGCAGCAAAGGTAACTGTTGTAATTGAGGTAAGTCTGACCGTTAAGTCGTCCCGGCAAGAAGAATGGACCAATAAAGTGGTTGCCAATAATTTCTGCCCATACGTAAACCGAAAATTGATGTTGGAAATGGGTTTCGGTTACAGCATAGGGATTTTCTTCTGCCCACAAATGGTTATTGTGGAAATTCTGAATGGCATTTCGAGAAAAATTAGCTTCGTCCGTGAACAGAATCATTTATTCAAATTGCGGATTTTGTATAATCTTTTGGAAAATCAATGGGAAGTAATGCCTGTACTCTTAAAATATTGTAAGGATATAAAAAACAACCTGATCATTGTACCACTTGTTGTTGATGACAAGATAAATCGATATTTTAAAAAATTCTTGAATTCTAATAAACATACGTTGGTGTTTACCCAATTTCTCAACGACATATAAATGCGCTCCCAAGAATGCAGCTTTCTGCTATTCAAAATATCCCATCTCTTCTGAGTGTTTATAGAAAGGGGGGCGGCTCGTTCGGTCAATTTAACGATCCTCATCTGAACCGCAACTGTTGGGCTAAGAACATAACTCGCTAAAAAATCCAAAGCACTGCACAAGCTGAACATAGATTCAAATCCCACTTTGTGTGTGTTAGCTAGATATAAAAGGTAGCCATTGGGATGCGTTACGGATACCTACGACTTTTCTGAATTTAATTAAAAGTAAAACCGTTCAGTAAAAGTTTACATAATGCCGGCCGGATTTGAATAAACAAGTATTAAAATTCGTTGGGCTTCCGACACGGCACAACGACTCCAATCCTGGTATTCTTGCCGTATAAGAACTTTCTTTTTTTTGCTGTTACTTCCTCTGCCAGTTCTACCCGGACTCGGTGGGAGTTCGGAAACTACTTTTTCAATTAAGTTTCCACGCATAATTAAAATAGTTGTTTAAAGTCCGGCAGACACGGTCTAGTTAAAAATTAAGAGCATCCGAGCCCCTCCGGTAGCGTCAATTAGAGAGCTCCTACAACTGATGTATGATTGATGCGACAACAGGGTTTCGCGGGTCTTTTGTTTTTTGCGAAACGCTGTTATAGAACTGGGGCAGGCTGTTCTATTTTTTATTTACAGCCGATTCACTGATCAACAGCCAAAAAATATCCTAAAAAAAATCAACAAAATATTACTATTTTTAATGTGTTAAAACCGGAATGAAACTTATTTTTTCAATATTAGTTCAAGTTTTAGAGATACGGTAATTATATGTGTTCCTGCTGTGACAGTGTTAATATACTGTAATTCACAAGAATGCACGTGCTACATTTTTATAGTCGGCAAGGAAAGATGATGTAATCGGCATGATTGTCTTACGTTATACATACGTGTACATTATATTGTTTTATATTAGCCATTTTTTCCTCAGTTGGCTGACAGCGTTCATGCAAGATGTCTCGAAAGTGTGTAAACAATCCAGATCAGTTTTGTTACGTGTGTGGTGATGTGACTTTTGCGTCTCAGAGACGGTCTATTACTCCACTAATAACAAAGGCATATCAGCTTTATTTCGGTTGTAAACTAGGTGATCAAGACAAACAGTGGGCACCCCACATCTGCTGTAATACATGTGCTTCAAGTCTGAGGAGCTGGTTAAATGGCAAAAAACGGTCTATGCGCTTTGCTGTCCCAATGGTTTGGAGAGAGCCTACAAATCATATTAATGATTGTTACTTTTGCATGGTACCTTGTGTTAGACAAGCCACAGGTATGTCCAAGAAAAAAAAATCGGTTATTAACTACCCAAACATAGCATGTGCTATGAGACCTGTGCCTCACAGTGACGAAAATCCTATTCCAAAACCCCCAGAATCCTACACTTGCGAATCAGAAAGCGAATCAGATCATGACGATCGAGTGATTCGTCAGGAAGAAGATATGCCATCAACGTCAATAGATCCTGATTTTATACCGAGCACGTCATGCCACTAACCGCACAAAATAACACAGTCAGAATTAAATGATCTTGTAAGAGATTTAGAACTTCCAAAATGTAAGGCAGAGTTACTTGGATCAAGACTGCAGCAGTGGAACGTGTTAGAAGACGATGCTTCGGTATGTGTTTTTCGTAAACGCCACAAAGACTTAGAATCATTTTTCAATATGGAGAATAACTTGGTTTTCTGCAGTAACATTAACGGCTTACTTGCGGCTTTAAATATAAACTATAACCCAGAAGAATGGAGATTGTTTATAGATAGTTCAACATTGAGTTTAAAGGCAGTGTTATTGCATATTGGAAACATTTTACCATCTCTTCCTGTAGGGTATGCAGTTCACATGAAAGAATCATATGACAATATGAAGTACCTATTGACATGCATAAAATATGATGAGCACCAATGGCATATTTGTGGCGATTTGAAAGTTGTTGCACTTTTACTTGGGCTGCAGCTAGGATACACAAAGTTTTGCTGTTTTTCGTGTGAATGGGACAGTCAGGCAAAGGCACTTCATTACACCAGACAAAACTGGCATGTTCGTCAATACCTAGAGCCAGGTCAAAAAAATGTACAGCATATGCCATTAGTAGATTCGAAAAAAAAATTATTACCACCACTGCATATCAAGTTGGGCCTAATGAAAAACTTTGTCAAGGCATTAGATGAAGATGGGTCAGCTATTCAATACCTGCGTCAGACATTTCCAAGACTAAGTGAGGCAAAGGTTAAAGAAGGTATTTTTGTTGGGCCACAGATTCGAAATATTTTGAAAGATACACAGTTTGAAAACACTTTAACAGGTATTGAAAAAACTGCTTGGAATGATTTCCGTCTGATGGTCACTAATTTCTTGGGAAATAGAAAAGCTGACACCTATAAAACCCTTGTCAAAAATATGCTGTCATCGTATCAAAAGATGGGCTGTAATATGTCTCTTAAAATACATTTCCTACACTCACATCTGGACTTTTTTCCTGACAATTGCGGAGCCGTAAGTGATGAGCACGGCGAACGTTTTCATCAGGATATTTCAACAATGAAAAAAAGGTACCACGGAAAGTGGAATCCTTCCATGCTTGCAGACTACTGTTGGACTCTTGGTAGAGATGCTCCAGAAACGATCCATAAAATAACAGCAAAAAGACAGCGCATATAGTGATTCTTATAAGTATATGAATCTTGTTACTTTTTTAATATATCCTTAAAAATAAAAAGTTTTTTTTCTAAACCGCAACTAATTTTTTTATTTCATTGTCATTTTTGGATTCAGCGCCCCAAAATTAACAAAGAAGTGCACTTTTCCCACAAGATACAATTAAAAAACTAAAATTTGTTGTCCAGTGATATATAAACAATGAAAAACAGAAATATATTGCTTCTATATAAATTCAAAGTATGTACTTGGGAAAGAGCTCTTATTGCAGGTAAGCCCCCACTAATGATGGTATTCTATTATTTTTTCCAATTCCCACTTTGCTTTCATGATTGTTGTTCACCAATTCGAATAGAGTACCAATAATATCCCATTTGCCGCCACGACACCTTCAGCCTATGTACTACCTCATTCCTAATCATGCCAGGTCGTTTTCGAATAATCCTAGTCCTACAAAAGAATGAACGGTCATGCTAGACTTTGTCAATCCAGCCTCTAACACAATGGTTTCTGTTGTGAATCATCTCCCGTTCTCTGGGCTACCAAATAAAACCCATCACATTAACGTCACCGTTAGCTTCGACTCCATCGATTTATCTCCTATTCCTAACCAAGAGGTCAATAGGTGGAACCACGTTCATCGTCAGCAGCGTTTGATTTATCAACGGTCTTGACGCACAGCTCGCACAAATTTTCGTTTTCATCTGGCCTTTGGAAACTAACTGCCTCTTTGTACGTGCCTTATTCTTGTTATTCATCCCTAAGTGTAGCTAAATACCAACGTACGCCAAAATCTGACATAAGTATTACCCTGGTAAGGAAAGTGGAAAGTGGAACTGTGTACATATCTTATCTCAGAGAAAATAATCTGTAAAGGAAACGCTGAAGTAGTCGTCTGGTAGCAAATTCTAATTGAAATAGTTGTAGAAACAACTCGGGCGACCGCAGAGGAGGAATAGAGACTGATGTCCAAGTTAGTCGCTTGTTCGAAGAGATCCTTTCATGATGTTACTTAACGAATTTTCACAGACAATGCTTCCCTTGTAAAAGTTGCTAAAATAGCAGCCTTCCCGAGAACAGCGAGGGCCTTACTGCCGTCGTAGGTATTTAATTGAAGAGGGTAAATACACGAGCGTACTGAAGGGGCATCCAAAGTTTTGCTGTAGCGCTCATAATTTATTTTTTTTTTTATATCGAAACAGCCGCGCAGGCAGAAGCCTAAATGCCGGAACACCGCGGCTGCTATGGTGATCCCAAAGAAATTTTGTTAATACGATTTTTGAACTGCCTAAGGTTAGTAGAACTGGGAAAAGCTTCCTCCCGTAGATTGTTCCACAATCTAGACACCCTCGGGACAAAGGAGCGGTCGTATCGGCCAGTTCTGGATGTACGAAGTTTGACCCGGTTAGGATGGGACGCCGAAGTCAGGCGGGTCTGTCTGGCAGGCACATCGCGCGGCGGCATCATGGAAGAGAGCTCTGAGGAGCAAAGCCCGTTGGTGTAGCGATAGAAAAGAGCTAGATCGCCGACGGCCCGCCGGTGCGAAAGAGCCCCGAGGCTGTCTGTTAGAGAAGAGTCATCGATCAGTCGGACCGTCCTCCTCTGGACAGCATCGAGCATGGACAATGTAGTCGGGGCGGCAGCACCCCAAATGTGTGAGCAATACTCGAGGCCTTATCTGGGCCTTGTATAGAGTGAGAAGATCATGCGGAGAAAAGTACTTCTTAGCCCTAAACAAATAGCCTAGCTTTGTCCCAGCAGCTGCAGCTATTAAAGAGATGTGTTCGTGGTAGATCAGGTCCTCGGTGATCTGGACTCCGACCAGCCGAAATGAATGGCTCTTTGGTAGAACTCGACCGTCCATCGAAACTGTATGAGCGCTAGGACGCTTTTTGTTCGTCAAAGTACAGTACTGTGTTTTGGAAGCATTGAACTGTACAAGATTGTTGCGTCCCCAAGCAGTGATAGCCTCCAAGTCTCTTGTCAGAGAAAAAGTCGTCGCTAGTATTCTTTTTTCCAGCTCAGCGGCAGAGATCGGCTTGTCACTCTGAATTCCTGCATGTAGAGTGCTGTCATCAGCGAAGCTGTGGATTGGGTTGATCGTGCAGGAAAGGAGGTCGTTGATAGGTAAGAGAAACAGTGTTGGAGCCAAGACCGATCCCTGGGGAACACCCGCGTTGACGTTGTGGGATGAAGAGGAGAATCCGTCAATTACGACGGATATCTTGCGGCCAGAGATAAAGTCAGCCACCCATCTGCAAAGCTTTTCTGAAAGGCCGTAGGATGGAAGTTTGCTTAAGAGGGCAGCGTGACACAGCTGATCGAACGCTTTCGTGATGTCAAGAGCAACGACAT